ATACAATTAATAACTACTTTGTAGAAATTGGACCCAAACTTGCTTCCGTTATTTCTCCTACAGACATAGACCCTATACAACCTTATTCAGCCTTGTAGATCTGAATTTAACTTAAGAACAATAACAACGACAGAATTAATTCAAACAATTGGGAAAACTAACTTAAACAAGGCCCCAGGTCTAGACAAAATACCAATTAAACTAATTAAACTAGCAGGAGATGCATTCACGACTCCTTACTACATATCTTTAACCTTGTACTGGGCACTGGCATTTTCCCAGATGATTTAAAACTTGCTAAAATAATACCTATTCATAAAGAAGGTGACAAGGCGGAATGCGGAAACTACCGGCCTATATCTGTAATTCCTACTGTCGCCAAAATCCTTGAAAAGATTATATACGACCAATTAAAGAATGAGTCTCAGGGTAATGCTTTGCGCGCTTTTTGTTTATGTTTACATACGGGAAATTTCCGTGTCACGTGCACATTCCCTTTACAATTTGCATAATATTGCGTCTTTTGCGTTAATATTTCACAAATTTTGGTCCTTTCAAAGAACATTTTAGTATTTTTTTTATAAAATGTCTGAATCAGAGTCAGATCAAGATTTAAATGTGTCGCAGTACGATGTAGAGGACGATCTAAATGCGTACGGATCATCGACATACATGGCGCAAGAAGCAGCTGTTGGTGACTCTAGTTCAACACAAGTTGAACAGGGTAGAACGCAAGTGAGTATAAATACCCTTAGTTTCCTCATTGTTTGATTTATGATAAATAGTTTGATAGAATAAATGCTCCATATATTATTTATTGATCAAGTTCGTTTCATTTTAGTTTTGTAGTTGCAAAAATACGTGTAGCAAACGCAGCGGTAGAAAGCAACGGGGATGCCCATGCCGAGACGAGGAGCTCAAATGTGCGGATGGCTGCTCATGTGGAACGAAGAAGGCATGTTGTAAAAATAAGCTTCAAGAGGGAACAGTAGCAGCTACAAATGCGGGAAGAAATGCTTTTGAGCGTCATCAGATCGCGGTAGAGGAAGCGAAACACCAGATCACGGTTAGTTTGTACTTGTTATTTATGTCGACAGTATATGGAATTCATAGTGACATTCCAATAATTTTTGTTTCGGAAGTATTTTACACTTTCAGGCAAATGTCTGGTTACCGTTCATGTGGCCTTTCCTCGTCACCAAAATCGCATTTTAGCGTTTATTATAGACAGTCCGGTTTAGCAATAAAGTCGCGTCACTCTCATGTTTGTAATACGTTTCCTGTTGTTCAGTTATCTGAAGAAGCTCTTGCTTTGATTAGTTGATACTGACACCAGGTTGGTAGGTTGCTGAATAAATAAGCCAAATATTATTATCATAACCTTTGTTTTCTTTGTTTGAAACAAAGACATCAGAGGACCGTTTATAACAATGTTTGGCTTATTTATTCTACCAACCCTTACTGACACAAACACAAATATACGAAACTTGGAAAGCAATATTTACAGGAACTTAATATTTTTAGGAATTCATTGGAACTTTGACAATTGGCGAAAAGGATAAGGTATTGCTTGAACTTCTGTCAAATGGTAAAGGTAGCCTTGATTATGCCAAAAATCTGGTGCAATTTGGAGGAAACCCCCCAATTCTTCCAGGGACAAGGCCACCATGGTGTACATGTGGGGTATGTCAACCAATGCCAACTGAGGAGGAAAACAAGTGTTGCAAAAAAATCACATGTGTCACATCATTTGTGACATTCCAGAACACATGCACAGACCGGGATGTATTGGTCATGGCTATCCGAGCGAGGTGCGATATAAGAGCAGAGGAGCCAGACTATTCAACAAACAGCTTTAGAAAGGCTGCATATCGCCAGTACATTTTATGGCGGTATAAGAAATTAGGAAGGAACCGAAAGGTGTGCCCATCATGTGTTGTGCTGGCAATACGACACCTATACCCGGCGAATGACGGTGTCTACATGGGATTTAAGAGAGCATGATGAACTTTACATTATCTATGATTATCTCTGCATTATGTATCCAAAATTTACAACTAAAATGATTTTTATAATGATATTGTTATAAAGCTTTTTTAATATTTGCAATAATTTTTTGCAAGTCCTGCATTTTGCTGCCTTTTGAATTATGTCCCCTCTCTAATAGGCCCCTGTTCAGGGGAAATGTATTACTGTAAACCCCATTCTAGCAAACCCAAACCCAAAGAAACACACATACATTGATTAGATTAATTACTATATTTCGCATTTACCAAATTTTGTGCTTTATCAAAAACACGCCTCCCCCCCTCCTTAAAAGTTCAATGTTACCCTCCTATTCTATATTTACAAACAACTTCTGATAGTAAATATTAATTGCCCAGCAAAGTGCTTTTAAAAGAGCCATAAACCATTAAATTTAAAAATTTAAAAGTAATGTTTCGTCTTAACTCAAGACATCTTCAGACTATATTAAATTACAAGCTGTAAGAGTAATTAAGCATAAAGTAAAGCTATCATAGCAATTGTAAAGCTATCATAGCAATTGTAATTTAATATTGCTATGATAGCTTTACTTTATGCTTAATTACTCTTACAGCTTGTAATTTAATATAGTCTGAAGATGTCTTGAGTTAAGACGAAACATTACTTTTAAATGTTACTAAACGTTACTAAATCTTTAATAAAATTTTTAAATTTAATGGTTTATGGCTCTTTTAAAAGCACTTTGCTGGGCATTAATATTTATTATCAGAATTCGTTTCCCACCTGGTACTTCTCTGGTAACAATTTTACAAACAACCAATATTCCATACTTGTTTGATATATTTTGGTGTAGTTTTCTGTATAAGTCTATAAATATATTCTGTAATGTGATTTAAATTTTTTGTTTATACTTTGTTTTAACGAAATCCATCTGATTGGTTTATTTTTTGTCATGTGATCGCTTTTATATTCTTAGCATAAAAGCTCATGTCATAGACCCATCAAGGTCTATCCATAAAGCATCATTTTCCCGACCCCCGCTAGTAAATCCAGACGAAGGGCCTTCGCTCGAAACGTCGAAATTTGCCTTATATTTTTCAGGTTATTGCATCCCTACCAACAAAAGATTGTTCATATACACTATATATAGTGTCTATAGACCCATTGCACATGACGTCACAGCACCGGTGACGACGCACCCGGAGGACAAATTAGCAATCTATGAATAATATAACTTTTGTAAACAAAGCAAATTTTGTAAAAGTTTATAATAATTTTGTATTAAAATGGTTAATTTTTGTACCCGAACAGATATTGTTAAGAAGCATCTGGAGGACACTGTAAGGATTTGTGACAACAGTGCAATGGGTCTATAGACACACCATTATCACAGAGTTAGGTTGTTTCAGTGTCACAAGTTGGTTGTGGCTGTGTTTCATTAGCTCCTTGCGTGTGATCATGGCTACTGCCAGCAGTGCGAGAGACAAACCTTGATAAAGATTGCGCCACTAGGTCACTTGTCTTGGGTATTGGCTTCAGTGCAATCGATGGGGCAATATTCTTCGGATGTTCCTTGGGCACTTCAACTTTGCGTAGAATGGTTTCCTCATCGTCAACTCTCTTTTTCAATATTCTTGTCGCAATAGTGGGCCAGAAATCATACGTCTTTGGTTCTTTCACAGTTGTAATTCTCCAATTCTTAGATCTCTTACTGAATACCTTGCTCACTTTTTGTTTACCATTGGCCGTAAATGCTGGTTTTCGAAATGCATGAGAGTTGTGGTCAATAGCAGCCAAATATGTTCTACCTATAAAAGCATCATTCCTAAAAAGTGTATAGGGTTATTATTGGTGTAGCAAATACAATTCCGTATATAACATGACTACAACATAGAATTGAAAACACACTTACTGGTACCCCACTCTTTTAGGTGCATACTTTAAGAGCATAGAATTAAAATTCTCCAGTTTGCTGGTGTGCCTACATGGAATTAAAGTTGAAACACCAATCATTTAAACAATTGTTAGACCTTTGTACTTCAGACTGTTAAGGGAATGCCAGGTACAAATACTAATAGCTCACACAGTCTGGCCAAATTAAAAAGCTATTGCAGAATTCTCAGGCTGTGTTGCAGAAACGTTCCCATGCAGGGGCCAGACTGCCTCTGCCCCCTATCATTGGGATCTTGTGTGTATGTACTGTAATTGTAAACATCTAGTCACATTACCAAAATTAACTACAACATTTGAAGACATGTAGAACCAATTGGGCATCACTATTTATTTTATAGTAACCTGCACATACCTAAATGTGACATACTGATGAAAATCTTCAAAAATCTTTGGTCAAGTACCACCTTCCGAATTTCCTCGAATGCTTTGGAGTTTTTGTCCAAACAGGTCTTTCCTACTTCTGTGGCCACCAACGGTCCATGAGTACATTCTCCATCTGCCCACTCATGCTCACCAGCAATGTGGTGCAATACCCCAAACCAGCTGTCCTGAAAAAATACAGTTGATAGTTCAACATCTAGTACATTCACTTTTAACTGAATCATATTCGAGATATACCATGTAATTGTAAAAGCATGGTTTTGTTGCAGGTATTTCGCACCTACACATTTTTGCATGTTTACAATTCTAATTTGGAACAGCCAATCCGGTTCTTGGTAACAATTACGGTTAAATATCGATTGGCTGTTTAAAATTAGAATTGTAAACATGCAAAAATATGTAGGTGCGGTCGTATACGTTTGTGGGAGTGGCCAATATATGAATTTTATATGCAATTCCACAGTTCGGTGACTTCCATAATACCTCCTCTGTGACAAAAATCCCTTTGAGTTGGTAAATTTTATTATGAAAGTGTACAGCATGACTTTAAGTCATTTTTAGACTAGAACCAAATTATGAAACTTGTTATTAGTAAACAATAAAGATTCTGTTAGGATTACCTTAAGTTTTTCTT